CCCACACACACACACAGCAGTTCAGCAGTTCCCTTGGCCAACCCGACATCAGTCGCTGCAGATTCGGGACCCACAGTGCACATATGCGTTCAGGAGCTACGAGGATGACTGACAGTTCTTCCTTCCGGACCCGGTCCAGGGTCCGTGATATCGGCAGTACTGGAGGAAATGCATAAAGGAGCATATATTTACTGAAAGGCGGTGTCATTTAAAACGCTGTTTAGAGGTTACTGGCTCGTTCTGTGTGGGGAATGTGTGAAGAGAGGCAGCTGTGAGATCAGCTGATCTGACAGTCTCAGATGAAACTTTACTTTCAGAGATGTTTCTGTTTTATTTCAAAACATAAATAGTCAAAAAACACACACTGGTCATGCTTTCCTGGAGGGATAGATTGCCGGTCCATCTTGGAAGCTTTTGCCCCAAGCGCCTCCGCCAGGCTTGTCTCCAGGGGGGAGAACCGAGGGAAAAAACACATCGGTAAAACCCTCCACTCTGGAGATGGAGGCGAAGGTGGAGACGGATGTCTTCAGCTTGCCGGGCCCAGCTGCAGCCTCGTTCTAGTGGGACATCACAGCTGGACAGCGAGGCCGGGTGGGGTCAGGGTGACGAGCCGGGGCGGAGCCAACCTTGCCTCCAGATCATCCGATCAGGGCGGAGGGAGGCAAGGGACGGAAAGTCCCTTGTGTTAACGTCCTCCTGGATTATGCCGGGCAGCTCCTAGAGGAGGGCGCCGATGGCTGGGAGCGGTGTGGTCGCCGACGTGGGAAGATCCGAAGTGGCTGAGCATTCGCTCGGCCACTTGTCTTCTGTCACTATGCTCTCCAGGAGGGAAGGGGCAGCTCGGCATCGCCTTTCTCGGCGGAATCATTCGATTCACTGTGTGACTCTGTGTCAAAGAAGGCGGTGGCGTCGTCCCGCGCATAGCGCCCCGCCACAGAAAAAAAAACACTCAGCGGAACTGCTGCCAATAACGCCTTTTTCGAGGGAATCATCCGATTCACCTCGAGAAAAAAACACATTAGAAATGGCGATGGCGTCATCCAGCGGGTAGCGGCCCGCCATGGAAAAGCAGTCCTCGGCGCTTACCTTGAACAAGGCTGCTCGTCTGCTTCTCCTCGGGGAGGAAGAGCTCACCGGGACGGCAGGAGTTTGGCGTGGCGGAGACCCAGGCATCCTTAGCAAAATTTGTGCCGGTCAAAGCTGGACAACTTTTCCTTCTTCATTCTTTTGACAGTGCTAGCTAGCTGGCTGAAGAAAAAATGGGAGCCGATTACCCGGTCTCACCATAATTTATACGGACCGGGGGTGAGGCCCACACAGCAGGTGGGCGTGGACTAAAGTTTTCAGTGATGCGCTGCGCGCCTAGGGATAAACCCACTAGTGACAGTCTTAAAGGGCGAAGCCTATACAAAATAGAATGTTCTGGCGGCACCATAAACCAAACGATGTTGGACGTGTTGCTGTTTCAGCCCATCTTTGTAGATTGACTGACGTTAGGTGTGTTGGTGCTCATAGTGAGGGATGACTAACTGCTACTACCACACCAAGTTCATCATTTGTAAGTTTGAAAAGTTTAGCTGTTTTTGTTTGGTTAAAGTGGATTGGCTGGGGAGAGCAAGAACTAGTCTGACCTAAACAATAATGAGCTGTAGACGTGCAGAGTTTCACTAACATCTGTTCGCCTGAGCAATGTGATAGTTTGCTAACAGGCAAATATCTGAAGCCAAAGTTTTTGAGGTAAAGAATGGCCCGATGTGTTGAGCTCTGAGTTGGTGTTGGTGATGACTCTCAACTGCTCAAACAACAAATCTTAGCTGAATATCTGCTAAGTTACATGAGTTACAGAAACTTGTGTTTTTATGGTCAGTTGGCTGTGGCAGCCATCTTAAGTCACAGATTCATTACTCTCTGGAAGTTTTATTCAAAGTTGTCTTCTTTTTTAAGGCCTGATTGGTGAGGACATTTGTTTTTATCCAACAAACCTTTGTTTCATGCAGCAGTAATGTTGAAGGTTGGCCAGCAGAGGGCGCCAAACTGTATTGACTCGCTCCACCAGAAGCTTTAGTTCGTCCATCACTAGTTGACCACATCTGTTTAGGTAACAAAGATGGAGGAGAGTTAGGTGGAAATATTAAAGTCAGGTGGTAGTTGGCATCTGGTCACACATTTAATTTACACGTTTGTCATTTAAGGACACATTACTCATCGATGGAAGATGTGTTTCTTACTTTACAATTTGTTTGGACCAGTTCTCAACACTTTACAAAAAGTCCCTTTAAGCACCTGATGAGTCAGAACCTGCAGTTTGTCCCAGACTCTAAAGTCAAACCCCGAACGTGTCCAACATCTCTGACCCTGAACCAGGGGAGATTTTAGGATCTGACCTTTAGGGGGGTGCTTAGCCCCCAGTACTGACAATGGCTGATGGCTTGAGCAACGCACCACCTGGTGGAGTTTGTGAGAAGTGCAGAACAGAACAAAGCACTACTAGCTTTGAGCATTAACCTTTAATTTAACCACTAAACATACAACGCCATTATGACAAATAATGGATTTACTTGCAGTTACCTTTGTACAGATGAACATGTGGTAGTTTTGTTTATCACTAGTATTCAGCTGCTCATGAGGTCGGCTGCTGGCTTTCATCCATCTTTTACTAAACTGCATTCCACTCTGCAACTTTGAGACTGTGATGAAGTGAAGGGTCCACTCAATCTGCTGGTTTCCTTTGATAGATACGGGCTGTTCGGTCCCTACAAGCGGTGCAAGAGTTTGTTCGCATTGCCACTAGTAAGTCGGACCCCTTCAGGATGGGAGTTGGACTCCACCAGGGCTTGTTTGTCACAGAGGGAGTCTGGTTCAGTGGTCTCAGGATTCCATCTTCTCTTTGCAGATGATGTGGTCCTGTTGTCTTCATCGTGCCGTGATCTCAAGCTCTCACTGGAGTGGTTCGCAGCTGAGTGTGAAGCAGCTGGGATGAGAATCAGCACCTCCAAATCTGAGGCCATGGTCCTCATTTGGAAAAGGGTGGATTGCTCTCTTTGGGTCGAAGGTGAGGTTCTGCCTCAAGTGGAGGAGTTCAAGTATCTCGGGGTTTTGTTCACGAGTGAAGGAAGAATGGAGTGTGAGATTGACAGACGGATTGGTGCAGCATCTGCAGTATTGCAGTCTCTGTGTCGGTCCGTTGCGGTGAAGGGAGAGGTGAGCTGTAAAGCAAAGCTCTCGGTTTACTGGTCGGTCTACGTTCCTACCCTCACCTATGGTCATGAGCTCTGGGTAGTGACCCAAAGAATGAGATCGCAGATACAGGTGGTTGAAATGAGTTTCCTCTGCAGGGTAGCTGGACTCTCCCTTAGAGATAAGGTGCGAAGTTCAGTTATACAGGAGAGACTCCAAGTAGAACCGCTGCTCCTCCACATTGAGAGGAGCCAATTGAGTTGGTTTGGGCATCTGGTAAGGATGCTTCCTGGACGCCTTCAGGCATGTCCGACTGGGAGGAGACCCTGGGGAATACCCAGGACACACTGAGACCATGTCTCTTGATGGCCTGGAAACGTCTTGGAGTCCTCCCAGAAGAGGTGGCTGTGGAAAGAGATGTCTGGGCCTCCTTTCTCAAGCTGCTGCCCCCGACTCGACTTTGGAACAGGTGGAATTTAATGGATGGATGGTTTTCAGATATTCTCATAACATCACAGTAACTTTACTACGTTATCATGTTCCTGAGAGGAAAATTTAAAATAAACTGTAGATACAACTTTTAACGCTGTTTGTCACATAAAATAAAGCATTCCTCAGTAATGCTTTATCTCTATCACTTTATGTTTTAGCCCACTAGGTGGCGCTCTGCTTTTATATTTGAGAGCATCTGTAAATATTAAGACAAGAGTTCAACTTACCCCTTAAAAGGTACATTGCTGCAGAATACTGCCCCTCATCTCACCAACAAAATTGTTTCCGTTTGAATGTAAAGAGCAAAAACTAACTTTTAATGTGCACAAGTAAACATTTAGTACTAAAAAGCTGTTTCACATGCATGCAGGCTGCAGAATCGGACGCCCCACGACTCAGACCAGCTGCCGTTAGCTTCTCGCAAAACAGGAGGTCATTAGTGGGTGCACCGTACTCCGCAGTAGAGTCCGTACAAGAGAAACACAATTTAGAAACTAGGCAGGCAGGCTTAAAATAAATAAAATAAAAAACAACAACAAAAACACGTCCAACCACAGAGAGACAGCAGAAAGTCTGACTGAAAACAAGGCTCAGGATCTGAAGGGTCCCGCGGTCTTCACAAAACTCCGGAATGGAATTTAGAAAAAAATTGTCAGAAGTTATTTTGACACATGGACCTTTTTTATTATTATTATTTTTGTTACAAAAGACCCATAAAGAGTTCAAATTAAAGTCATTTGTTTATTTTTCAAGGTTGAGATGGCTCTAAAATAAAAAGTATTTTTAATGAGTAAGGCTGAGCTTCCACCATCTCTCAAAAAAATTAAAGGGACATTCAGAGGGTAACATCTGTCCAGTGCTTCGTGAGATATTTTACTAACAGACAAACACTTTGCGAGGCGGGTGATAATGAAAGCAAACTGAAACAGATTTTTGTGATCTACAACTGAGACGAGCAGCTCTGAAAACGGCTTCATGAATTTCATGTACCTGGATTATTGAGCATGGACTTTGGGGTTTTACTTCATATCTTGAATCTTAACGTTACAAACAGAACACCGGAGTCAACTCTAGTGATTAAAAACGATGCTGGGGAGGTAAAAGAACAGAGATGGTGTGACAAAACAGAAAAGTGCATCTACAAAGTAATGCCCCCCTCCCCCACATTTTATGTACAAAGAGCCACTCTCTTTTCCAACAAGATCCTCCATCTCAGTAGTAACTGTCCTTTTACTCAGTACTAAACTAACTGCAGGTGTGCACATCTGTTACCGCCATGATCCTCAGCTCTTATGTGGTCTGTTTATTTGCAGGGTTTTTTTTATACTCAGTTTGTTGATCGTGAGCTCAGAACTGGAAGGAGCAAAAATAAAAATCTTGTTTTTCACTTTCTAATATCCAAATATGACTTTTGTCTCCTTTGCTGCTGCGCTCAGCAGAAACACCAGCCGATCGCTTTCTCCTCCCTCGCATGGTAAACAGAAAGTTCTGCACGCAGACCGTTGGACGGGCTGCCAGAAAAGGTTTTATGTTTTTATTCCGTGCATTAAGTTTCTGAGCTCTCCTGCACATCTGTTGCACGCTTGTTCCAAACAAATGGAAAATAAAAATAAGTAAAATATGCTGACTTTTTTTTTTTTTTTTTAGCTCATGGAAGACGTACAAAAACTTTTCAGACAGCTGACAATCGTCACAAGAGATTCACCCCAAGGTCAGACCGTGCAGTGCTCAGAGAAATGAGCTCCATAGACTCTACAGGTGTCAGTCAGCAGGTCAAAGGTCATGACAGGACTTGGACACAGACTGAACAAGCCTGGTTTGTTTGATGGGCTGCAGGAGAAAACCTCTTCTTCATCTGAAGGAACCACAAGATGTCTGGACCAGAACCAGAAGAAAGGAAAGACGTTTACCCAGAATGCACTGTAGCAAGCAGCTCCTCCCAGCTGTCAGCACAGTGGTGGAGGGCTGATGGTTTGGGCTCCTGTCAGTCACTGAGTGGACCATGAACTCCTCTGTAGACCAAAGGGTTCTGTAGTCAGATGCGAGTCCATCAGTCCAACAACTGAAGACTGGACCAAACTGCTGAATCGGGCTAGAAACAATTTTTTATTTTGATTTTTTTGTTTAATAAACAACAACTCTGTGGAATCTGTTGCGTTTCTGCTCACTTTAAGTTAGATTTCATTCGTTTTAGAAGCTGATGAAGACCGGATCATGTTATTGTGTTCTGATAAAGGAAAACGGACTTGTTTTTTTCCATGAGACGAGCCGAGTGTTTGGTTCTAGTCCTCCTCATGCCTTTAGCCGTTCTGCTGGATCCACTCCACACAGTGAGGTTAAAAACCCAGTCCAGCTGCTTTCTGGTTATAATCCAAATCCCTGACATTAATACAAAGTGTTCAGTCAAATCTACATATATTTTACAGCAGTTCTGCTGCTTGGTACGTTAACCTTGTAATATACAACGTTACAGAACACCACTGGGAGGTCTACTACTCTGCTTCTTCCAGCAAAGAGAGGTAGATGTTGGACTGAAGGAATCGTGGGTAGCAATCTGTGTCCAGCAGAGAGTAGATTCGCTTCTGTGCCGGCAGCAGTGAGGTGCGGGAGGGGGCCTGCAGCAGCTGGAGGGTCAGATCTCTGGTCTTACTGTCCAGGTTCACCTGCAACAAGGCAACGCAGCACAGACCTCAGTCAAGACTCAGACACTAACTCTGTCATCGGTGAAGGAGCAACACATTTAGTATGAAAAAACTTTAATGAATAAAACAAGTGTTTCAATCCAAGTTTGTTCTTGTACATTTACTAACACTCTGATTGAAAGTTGGCAACAGTTTTCAAACTTTGGAGTCTTTGTGGCTGATTTCTACTGTGGAGCTTCTTGACATATGTGGAATGACTCTCAGCTACTACCACGTCAAATTTAGCTCAATATCTGTAAAACTGACTGAGCTATAAACAAGTTGGTCCTCTGCCACGGAGCGAAGAGGGAGAAATGGAAATACTGACCATCTGTCTGTCTGTGCACGGTGCGAGCACGATGACTTGAAATATCAGTATTTAAAACAAGGCTTCCATCTTGGTGTGTGCTTACATTGACACGCAAGAACATTTATTTTGAAAATTCAGTTGCCACATCAAAATCAAAGATGGCTGCCACCACCCACCCACACACGCACGCACACGGATTGAAGAATAAATAAATCTTTTTATACACCTACAGGTATACACAGTACACTGTGTACATGACCTTAGTAAAAATACACTGTGTACATGACCTTAGTAAAAGTACACAGTTTACTGTGTACAAGCTTGGCTACAGGCTCACTGGTCACTTGGTTGGAAAATCCCAGAGAAACCAGAAAGAATGAAACAAACAAACAAATAAAACTCATATTTCCTCCTAACTGTGAGATGCCGACAGTCACAGCTCATTGAAATACAACTTTGTGCTGTTTCTTCTCAAGAACAAACTAAAATGTCATTCTCCCAACAAGGACACCAGACACAGAGGGGTTTATTAAAACATGGCCAAGGTCTCCCACGTTAGCAACACCTGTTGGGTTATGAAGTCAGCTGAACGTGCAGCTGCTGACAAACGGTAAATGAAGGTGTGCTACCTCACGTGGAGCTCCTGGCTGGATGTACGTGGCGCTGATGTCTTTGGCCCTTCTCTGCAGGCTGAAGTTGTTGGACGAATGGCTGTACTGCTCGCAGGCCAAGTAGAACTGCAGGTTCTCCTCACTGAACTCAGAGCGCAGGAACGCTCCGAACACGGAAACACCGGCTGAAACAAGAACGAGTCACATCAGCGTTTCAAGCACAATTACACACGTCCACTAACCGACGTGTGCTCGGAGCGAGTAAACACAGCAAAGCTTCTCTGCAACACCTCGGAGCACCGTGTGCCTGTTCCAACAGGTGTAGAAAATGCAGTGAAAAAGAAATATTCGTTTCAGGGAGAAAACAAACAAACAAACAAACACGTCATCTGCATAAAAAACAAACAAAACAAGAAAAATAAAAAGAATCATCACCACTCCTTTAGTTGATTAAAAGAACTTCTTAATGGCTCTTAATGTGAAATATGGACTCTGAAGTTATTTTAAGACCAACAAAACATTACATTTAAAAGCAACAAAAGGATCAAATATAGACACTTAAAAACAAATGAAATAAAAGTGGCTTTGCTTTTTGTTAGGATGCACAAACAGGAGGAAAATATAAAACAGAAACAACTAGAGGTCGTTAAACAGACTGATGAATTGAACAGATATATTGTTTTAATTTGATAACCGTCGGTGACGTCGACGCTGATTTCTGGCTGTGCTGAACGGGTTTAACCCTCTCAACGGTGCTTATTCACTGATATTCTTACATGAAGGTTTTATCTTAAACAATTAAACTACAGCTGTTTAACCCCGAAGTCCCTTTAATGACAGTTAGTGTTCCTTTGGGAAAAAAATAAATAAATCAACCATCTTATGAAACTGCTAAAAAAAATATATACTATTTTTAAATATTTGTTTCTACAAAAAAAAAAGTAATTTTTTTAGAGCCATCTCAGCCTGAAATAAAACATATACAATTTAAATGTTTTTTTGTTTTTTTAACTGTTTAAGGGTCTTTAGTAAAATAAATAAATAAAATGAACAACTCCATGTTTCAGTTAAAAACAGAAAATATTTTTTTCTTCTTTCTGCTGCCTTTCATTTTATTTGACTGTATTTCTTATTGTATATAGAATTGTTTTGTTTTAAAAAATGAATAAATTTATAAAAATAAATAAAATATTTTAGTTTATGACCATTAAAAAAAAACATTTTCCCCTATTAGTACATCCAAAAAGATATTTTAAAATATTTTTTAATTGCAGTCTGGAGTTTTGTGAAACCTTCAGACCCGGCAGCTGAAAACAAGCTCTTGTTTTTTCTGTCTGCAGTTGATATGCAGTTGGTTTTTTTAGCAACTTTTTAGACTCTACGTATGGACAACTCCATTTTCTGTTTTGTTTTTCACTTATACCGACCTGGATATACCAGCAAACTACGAGAGCACGTGCACCCACTAATGACTTCCTGCTTTGGGGTAAACCGACGGCAGTCAGCCGTCCGATTCTGCAGCCTGCACGCATGTGAAACAGCTTTTTAGTACTAAATGTTTACTTGCACACATTACAAGTGAGTTTTTGCTCTTTACATCCAAACTAAAACTATTTGGTTGGACGAGATGAGAGGCAACGTCTGGCTAAGAGAAGGCTCTACTTTTAGGGTGACTTGAACTACGACTGATTTTTACAGAGGCGCTCAAATGTAAATAATATTATATTAATCTAATGTATAAGTATATGATAAATATGAGATTAAAAGTTGTATTTACAGTTTATTTTAATGTGGATGATTTCCCCCTCAGGAACACGAGTGTAGTAAAGTTACTGAGGTTATGAAAGCATCTGAAATCTTTTTTAACATAATTTAAAAAAAAGTTCAATAATTTTTTTGAATATGTCAAAAAAAAAAATCATGTTTATTTTGACTGCACCAAAATAATTAAATAAAAACAAATAAATGTGCAGCTGATTTTGTCTGCATAAGCTCTTCCAAAGGTTAAAGTTTAAACCTGAAATAATTAATTGTAGTGATACTTTTCCTCCACTCCAGTTGCTCAATGATGCAATGCAGTTTACCAGGATATGCATGCCCATTATATATATATATATATATATATATATATATAAGCTTAAAGTAGTAAGATGTTAGTTCCAACCAAAATAAATAAATAAATAAAAATTAAAGTGGCAGAACTGTAACAAAAAGCTAAAAGGAGCACAAGAAAACAGAATCTCAAAAGAACGTTTTTGAATAAAGTGAAGCAATCAATGCCATTTAATTTTAAATAAATGTAAACATTGTGAAACAATTCTGAAAACCAGAAGTTAAAGCCAACGCTATCCCAAATGAGCTGAATGTTTTGATAAATAAACATTATATCAAATGTGCACAAGTAGTTTGTAAAAAATGTACAGAAAAAACTAAAAGCAGGAAATGGAACATAACAGCACACTTGTCCATCAATAAAGATGCTACATCCTCGTGAGAGCAGATGGGACTAACCTGGACAGGCTAAGAGGGTGTTTAAAGACTCGGCCCACTTGTCCAGCTCCTCTCGGCTGAACTTCCTCTTCTTACTGAGGCCAACTTGACTCCACTGATGCATGAAGTGCAGGCGAGATCTCTTGTCTGTAGCACTATGATCAAAACCAAGACAAGACACAGAGGCAGCATGCTTTTGAAAAAGGAAATATCCAAAATCTAATACAAAAAAAAAGTGTAAAAGAGAGCATTGCAGTGAATAAAATACAATTCAGGACAAGAAACTTCAGTTTTAAGATTTGAAAATTGAGATTGGTGTCCTTCATTGTTTGTCCCATATCAACACGTCAGACTTTCCTTCAAATAGATTCAGTTGAATATTTAATATAAATAAATAACAGCATGAATAAAAACAGACGGTACCCTTAATTTAATATTTAGCAGCAGCAGTTTTAGCAGCGATCACTAACAGGTGATCGGTGTTCTTCACAATCATTTCCCACCCAGCAGCTCCTCTTCCTGAGCAGACTGCTCCAGCTGCCTCAGGTTTGAAGGACGGTGTCTCCACACTGAATGTTTTTAGATCCATACATGCTCAACAGGATTAAGATCTGGATTCTAGGCCTGTCACGATAACAGATTTTGCTGGGCGAGTAACTGTCTCAGAAATTATTGCGATAAACGATAATATTGTTTGAAATTTGACAATAATTAGTAATTACTGTCAAATTTACGAAGAAATGTTTTATTTTGTGTGTAGTGCCTTTTTTTAACCACCAGATGACAGTACAAGACTGTTTGAACCAAAGGATGGATAGTGAGGGAGCAAGCAGCATGTCTCTTTAAGAAAAATGGGAGGGAGGCCCTTTGACATGACATGGGCTGTCTCTCCTTTTTTCAGTTCTCAAAATGGCGGATGCTCGTTGTGGTTTGAGCTCTTTAGCATAGCATTTTCCACACAAAGCCTTTAATTAAAAAAAAAAATCAGTAAACAAGTTCTCAGCTTCTTTTTGCAGAGAAAAACAACTTTTTACACAAAGGCACGGGTTTCAACCGTGAATTTTGGAGCTTCGACAAGACGGATGGATAAGAATGAGGTTCAACCCCTGTCAAGGAGATTGGTTTCAAAGCCCATGCTGTGAGTTGAGGTGAGGCCAACTACATCTAGTCAGTACCTCACAACCTCATGCACAAGCTTGAGGTTACATGTCCTAAGAGCCAGCTTGGGTACGCCAGGGTCAGAGCGCCACACTGAGTCTGCGTCACACGTCTTCGTCTCCTTCCTATTCAAGCTGCGTCGACCAATCCCAGTCACATCTTATCACGTGTATGTGTAGTACATGTATGCCAATAGCATGCCTACTGGACTCTTCGAGACACGCCCACAACAGACAGGAACAAGCCTGTGAATATTCCTTAGCGGACTTAAAGTTGGCGAAACCTAATTTAGCAGAAGCTAATACCACCAACAGTTTCCAAAGTTAGTGAAAACACTAATCCACCGAACAAAAAAAATAGCTCTAGGATAGAGGCTGCAGTGGAAACAGTTTTGCACCAACATTCCTGTGAGCCTCAAAACATGTAAATATTCACCAAACTTGGTCCATTTGCTAATTTTTGAGACTCCGGATCTCCAAAAACTGTCACACACTTGGAAGAAAAATTTATTTTTTTTAGTCCAGACCTCAAAGTTGTGTGGTCTCTCCTGCCCAGGTGAGACACCTTCAGACACAAACGACTTTATTGTTATTTTCATAAAGTTATGGGTAATGAGTGGACGTTATGAAAGAGAATATCCATTATCAATAGTTAAGAACAGAAAATACAAAGGTTCTCACCTGTCCCTCTGATCGATGTTGGACAAGTTGGAGTTGGATGAATGTGGACTCTGAAACAGAAAGTGCACAATGATTAAAGTCTTCTGCTGAATCCCCACGGACTAACAAATGAAAATATAAAAAGTCCCTAACACGGGGGGTGTCCAAACGTTTTTATATGCAAGCCAGAACTGTCAAAATTAAAAAGAGCCACAAATAAATAAATAAAAATGTGACTTTTTAAAACTCGACAACGTGAACAATATTTTGGAGCAAGTCAAAAAGTATATTCATTTTAGAAGAAGAGGGATTTCTAAATTGTTGCAGACATGGCGGCTGTGGATGAGTGGTTAGAGCAGTCGTCCTCCAAAGCAAGAGTTGGGGGTTTGATTCCACCAGCAGCCACATGCCGAAGCGTCCCTGGGCAAAACACTGAACCCCTCACTGCCTCATGTGTGTCCCATCAGTGTATGAATATGATAAAACCCTGATTATCCTTTGTATAGATCTACTATAGTGCTGTATGAATGGGTAAATGAGGGCACAGATTGTGTTGTACAGCTCTTTTAAGGATCTTGATCAGATAGAAAGATGCTATAAGTACAGTCCATTTAGATCCAAAACATAAAAATCCTCATAAACAGTAAACTAAATAAAAAATAAATTTATTTGATTTATAGGGTCTTGCTTTCTTGTGCTTTGAAAATATATATTTAGTCTATTCCTATGAAAAGCATTAAATGAGTTCAATTTATTTTAATTGATTATTAAATTACCTGAACATATCCTCTTGCCTCCAGGCTGAAATTATACAGTTTTTAAATGACAGTTATGGGATGCACAAAATCACTCCGAGGGCCGCAAATGGCTCACAGGTCATTTAATACAGAGTATACAAATGTGTATACTCTGGATTAAAACTTCAGTTGGTACTTGGAAACAAACAAACAAAAAATCAGTTTAAAAAAAACGTCAGCAAACTGATACGAGCGCCGCTGAAATTTCAACTTGCTTGACTGGTTCTAAAATTAACAAGCGGTACGCTGATGTCACCCGTCCTGTCGCTGAGGGATATGAATAGTGAATGTTTGTAGTTTTCAATATGAGGGGGTAGGAGTTACACGGTGTAGAATAAAAGAGGTTGTTGTGTCCAAAGCAGTGCAACGTGATGGATCTGGAGAGTGGAGGGAGCAATTTTATCCACCAGCAGGTGCAATGGTTGAGCCAGGGAGTGGTCAATGGTGGCCTTGGCCCTAGTTTAATAATCTTCAGCCACATTAATCATTTGAGGAAATTAGACTTGTAATAAATATAAAAGCTAGAAGGGATATTTTCCTCAAAGAGCACTGTAAGCCAGAACAAATCAAGAACAGCTCTGATGAAAGACAGACGTGCCTGTTTCAAAGTGAGGATCAGTGTTAGACCCGGTGATTGACAGCTGGAACACACGGCCAACCAAGAGCCAATCACAGATGGACCAATTCACAACCGTCACAATGGCTCAGATATTATCAGATTAAAACTACATTCATTCAAGTTCTTCCATCAGATTTATCAAAACCAATATTTAAAAAAACCCATGGCATTCCATTTCATAAATGAGTGTTATGCCACATTAGTTCATAAATAACTAAAAACCATTTCAGTCTGTGTGCAGTGTACGCCCAGTCATATACATTATGTTTTTAAAGATTGTGCGCCGAGTGCTACAGTGTCCCATTAGGTGTAACTTAGTTTTTATAAAATTTAAAAAACACTATTTTACCCATTTAATTAGTCAAATATGTATATGCTAATAATAATGAAGAATAAGATTACAGTATCTAAGTCGAATTTCTTAGTCTACAGTGCCTATAAAAAGTAGTCATCCCTTTAAATATTTTACCTTTTTATTGCCATTAGAAATCAGCTGTGGTTGACGTAAATTCACCTTTCTGATCCAAAAAAAGCCTTCGGTGAGAATGTAAATCAGTTTTTGACAAAGTACCGGTGATGCCAATTAAATTAATTTTTGTAATGAAAAATAGACTGCATAAATATTTACCCCTTTTAAAGTGACTGTCCTAAATTAACTCGGAGAAAAGAATATTTAAAAGTACAAGTTGGAATGGATACGAAGGGATTTCCATCCCCAGGAGTTCTGTTAAATTCATCTTTAAGAAATAGAAGGAATATGGAAGATGTGTAAATCTACCGAGAGCAGACCGTCCTCACAAGCTGAGACACCGTGAAGAAGGTGAGAAAGACCACCGAGACCCCTGAGACTTGGCAAAACTTCTGAGATTTAATCTGAGTTTTCTTCAATGGTGGTTGTCTCTTTGCCACTCTCCCATAAAGCTCAGACTGGTGCAGAACTCGGGCAACAGCTCAGCCTCTCTACAGACACCAGTAGCAAGCTCTGGTTAGACTAAGACAACGTGTAAAATGTTTCATAATCAAACTGGGAGAACAGTTACAAGTTGACTGAATCTCTATGAGCCTCGCCACTAACACGAGCCATTCCTTTACTAAACTAACATTTGGCTCTGGTTTACTTTTGCTGTTGAAATCTATTTCAGCTGACTTCCCATGCTACATTTAGCTATTGGTTACTCTTTTGCTACTTTTAGCTAAAATGTTGCTAGTTTAACATCTTCACTCCAATAATTCTAATGTTGGCCCTTGGCTATTCTACAGTGAAACCAGACGTGTTTTCCCTCTCCCCCTCCACCCGCTTCCCTGCTTGCACTCTTTTGTCCTGTAAATCCTTAAAAAGCCTCTTTTTTTTCCTGCATACCTCTTAATTGGAAGGATCAGCTGGTCTCTCAACAAAATCGATCAACTTCTCCCGACAGGAGTCAGGGTAAGGAGGACCCTCTACCTCTAAGGAACAAATTGGATTCATGATGACGACTAGATTCTACTGTTTGGTTGGTGGAATCTGGTTGTCTACAAATTCGTGTGGAGGTGTTGAAGCTCGACAGTGCTCGGACTGAATGTGGAGCTGTGACAGGGAATTGGAGCAGCTGTTATCAGGACTGTGATCTCCCTGGCAACACTCATGAATGGTGGGAATAATCTGGAGAAGCTGTGAGCTCGACTTTTGGAGTAAAGGATCAATTTGGCTGTTTTGGAGTTTCCATCAGAGAATATACCTGTATACCAGCAAGACTTTAAAGGCAGAAACAACAATAACGAGTTCTGCCTGACCCAAACTGTGGCCTTGACGCCGGACTTATCTCAACTCCTCCTGGAATGTTTTGAAAACAACAGATACTGTGTCTGTTTCCTCACCCCTCCCTTCCCCAAGGCCGTGGACATGTGACAGAACCTCAACTGAGCTGAAGATGAACGTCACCTCTTATCTGGACAATGGCTGAGGGGGGGCTCTGGACTATGCTACGACTTTCCCTTAAAAATTCAATGTTTTCACCGTCTATATGTAAATGTATAACGTCTGTTTATGTTGCTTTGCTGTGGTAGGTTTGTTTGATGCCTCAAATGGTGCCCTGTCTAGGACACGGTGTGAGAGATCTTTTTTTATATCGTCTCTCCTCATGTTTTCTTTCCTTTTCTCATCTAAGCAAAATATTATTCTGAATAAGAATAAGAAGGCCGCGCTAATTATTTATAGCCGCAGCTTCGTGCACTCCGCCTATCTTCGGACGACTGTACGTACATATTCGCGTTGTACCTCGGTGCAATGCCAATAAAGTTTATTCTGATTACTGTGGTACAAAGGTTTGCCTAAATTAAGGTTCAGCTACTTTTACCTTTACCTTTTCCCCAAATTTAAAGATGATTTTGATAAACAAAACTGGGAAGATGTGTATGTTGATGATGTGAACAAATCTTATGATAAGTTTATGAACATTCTAGATGTTTTGTATAAAAAAAAAAAATTGTGTGCAAAACAATTATATAAAGAAAGATACTGTTGATCAACCATGGATTACGAAAGGATTGAGAAATGCATGTAAAAAAAAAGAATTATCTGTATTCATGTTTCTTGAAATCCAGAACACATGAGGCAGAAAATAAATATAAAAAGTACAAAAATAAATTGGTTGGGATCATAAGAAAACAAAAGAGGGAATATTATAGTGAGTTATTACATAAAAGTAGTGGCGATATGAAGGCAACATGGCGAGTAATGAACAGTGTTCTGAAAAAACATAAGGTTAGTACGAGTCTTTCTCAATATTTTGTGGAAAATAATGTGGAAATCCATGATGAAAATGAAATCGTAAATGGATTTAATAATTACTTTGTAAATGTTGGATCTAACCTTGCAAATACAATACCAAAAGTGGATAACAATGTGAGCCTAAATTAAAGTTCAGCTAGTTTTAGATTTTTGTTACTATTTTGCTACTTTTAGCTTGTAGCTAAAATGTTGCTAGTTTAACATTTTCACTCCAATAATCTAATTATGGCCCTCAGTTGCTGTGGTACAAAGGTTAGCCTAAATTAAAGTTCAACTAGTTTTAGCTTTTTGTTACTATTTTGCTACTTTTAGTTTGTAGCTAAAATGTTGCTAGTTTAACATTTTCACTCCAATAATCTAATTTTGGCCCTCTGTTACTGTGGTACAAAGGTTAGCCTAAATTAAAGTTAAGCTAGTTTTAGCTTTTTGTTACTATTTTGCTACTTTTAAATTGTAGCTAAAATGTTGCTAGTTTAACATTTTCACTCCAATAATCTAATTTTGGCCCTCAGTTGCTGTGGTACAAAGGTTAGCCTAAATTAAAGTTCAGCTAGTTTTAGCTTTTTGTTACCGTTTTGCTTTTTTTAGCTAAGGTTTTGCAAGGTCTACCTTCTTGCTTCAGTAATTCAAATTTTAGCTCTCAGTGACCGTATTTAAAATTTTTGATTTAAACTAAGGTTCAGCTAGTTTTAGTTTTTGCCAACTTATTTGCTACATTTAGCTCCTAGCTAATGCTTTGCTAGTTTTATTTTTTTACTCTAGTAATGCTACATTTGTGTCTCAGTTACTTTATTACTAATTTTACTTTAAACTACATTCAGCTAGTTTAAGCTTTCAGCAACCGTTTTGCTCCTGTTAGTTAGCATTTAGCTCCTTTTAGATTCTGTTTTCCTCATTTTAGCTGCAACAACTCAGATTCACCTTCTCCAGCATGGTTGTTTTCTAGGAAACCAAACTTTCTCAGATGTGTTCTGTGCTTGACGTCCCACCTGTCCAAACAGGCTCTTCAGGTGCAGTTTAGCAGCCGACAGTTTGGCTCTGTGATGGTGTGTGTGGTGAGATTTGGAGAACAGGTTGGAGGAAGCTGACGGTGGAGGGTGCCCATCATGCTCCACACCTCCACAGCTATCTAGGGCAGTTGGAGCCAGCTGGCTGTCGCTGTAAGCCCTGCAGCCCTCGTTCATGGAGCACACTTGGAGAAGGTTCTGGTTCAGTTTTCCCAGCTCAGTCAGGTTCTCCACACTGAAGCTGTGCTCCCGGTTCAGCTCTCTCCTCTCACTGGGAGTCGCTTTGGGCTCCAGGATGACGGGATTCAAACCAGGTAGCCTCGCGTTTCGTTCGTCGCTCTCCAGGTGAGGAGTGTAGGTCTCAGAATCCAGGCTGACACCAAAGTCTGGGTTTTTCAGAGCTTTTGACTTCCATGGCAGGAAGTCGAGATCCAAGAGGGATCCCTCAGAACTGAATCTACGCATGTTGGTTCAGGAGGTGATGCCTAACAGTGACTGACAACAGTTGGACAGGAAGCGCTGCAAACAGATAAGGACAAGACAAATACAGAAATAAATGTAAAAATGTGCGTTCACATGTTCTGAGAATATTTTCTAAATATATTCTCAAACTCAGAGTCCTAGGAGGAGGGATTTAAAAAAACAACTCCATTACAAAGAGCAAACAACATCCTGGTAGATTCTGCAGATAATTATAAACCTTTCAAAAACTGATGTACTTATAAAGTAGAGTTGTCCCTCGCTGTATTGTGGTTCACTTATACACACACACACCGGTAAATAACTAAATAAATACAACACTGCGACTTCGCGGATATTCACCTACTGCGGGGTTCTCTGGAACGTAAACCCTGCGAGAGGTGAGGAATCACTATAGTGATAATCTGACCCATGGAGGATGGAGTGTGAGGTGGAGGGGGGCGGCTCAAACCCTGGAAGGGAAGTTACGACATTTTGCTGTGATTTCCTGTTTTAAGACGTCCTCCAAACACGACAGTTATTAAAATAAGCCAATTCGTTTTTGTTTTTTTCAGTGTTAAACTCACGTATAAGTACTTTTACATTTTAGGTAGCCTTTAAATGCTTTCAGGTAACTTTTCACTACTTATAGCTTTTAGCTACCATTTAGCTACTTTTCAATCAACCTTTATTTATACAGGTAAATCCCATTGAGCCTCGAGGACTCATTTACAAGAGAGACCTGATTTCAACAAAGAAAGATGACAACAATGGACAACAGCAACAACAATAAGCAGTTATAAAAACTCATACTACAGTTTTTTTTTTTTTTTTTTTTTAACAAATAGGATGGCTAAAAGGAAAAAGGTAACAAAACAAAAAAACAGCTAGATTCCAAGACAAATGTATAAAACTAAAAACAGGAACATGTCTGCATTGGACCCTGCCAGGAGTCCAACAGATTCTTAAAGACACTTAGAGAGGTCAAGGTCGAGAGCTTCAAATCTTTTTGTAAGATATTCCAGGAAACAGGAGCGGAGTAGGAGAAGGCCCTTTTGCCTAGTTCAGTCCTCACTGAGGGAACACTGCAGGTAATAATGTCCTGAGAGCGCACTCCATAGCTGCACTCACGCAGAGACATGTAGGAGGAGATGTATGAAGGCAGCAGACCAAGAAGTGATTTAAAGGTGAAAATGTACCAGTGAGAGAGTCTGCGTGAAGTTAATGATGTCCATTTAACCAGTGAATACAGGGTGCAGTGGTGGGTACGATAATCACAGCCAGTTATGAATCTTAGTGCACCATGATAGACAGCATCCAACATCTGCAGGGTTCTTGTAGGAGCGTTCATGTAAATAATATCACCAAAATCAATTGAGGGAAGGAAAGTCACAGATACAAGGCGTTTTCTAGCATTCAGGGTTAGACAGGATTTGTTTCTGAAAAAGAAACCCAGTTTAATTTTCAGTTTCTTTACCAAGTTTTCCACATGGAGCTTAAAAGAAAGATGTGAGTCGACCAAGATACCCAAATATTTATAGGAATCAACAAACTCAATGGGGACACCATTTGAGGATAAAATCGGAGGAAGAACTGCTGGGACCAACTTCCTATTTGAAAAAAGCATCCCTTTGTTTTTTTCGGCATTTAGGACAAGTTTGAGGCGGAACAAATCAGTCTGGATGTTGTTGAATGCAGATTTCAAAAGCTGGAAAGCCTTAGCAACTGTTTTAGCTCGACAATAAACAACTGTGTCTTCAGCATAGAAATGTATGGATGCATTAGGGATGTTTTTACCTACATTATGTATGTAGATTGTAAAGAGGGTGGGTCCTAAGACTGAGCCTTGTGGTACACCATTGTTGAATGTTAAATAACTGGAGGAAGTACCATTATGTTGAACACATTGCCTCCGGTCTGAAAGATAGTTAGAGAACCAACCAATGGTGTGATCTGAGAAACCGATTTCTGAGAGTTTATGACACAAGATGTTATGATCCACAATGCCAAAAGCTTTAGACAGGTCTAAGAAAAGTGCAGCACAATAATCCTTAGCATCCAGTGCTTCAACAACGTCATTAAGAACCTTCAGTGAAGCAGTGGTTGTGCTGTGTTGTTTCCTGAAACCAGATTGATGTGGAGGTAAGATGTTAAATGAGTCCAGGTAATTTTTGATTTGAGAGTTTATCAGTTTTTCTAGAACCTTGGCTAAAATGCAGAGTTTAGAGATTGGTCGATAGTTGTTCAGTGAAGTGGGGTCTCCTCCCTTCAGCAAAGGAAGAACAAAGGCTGTTTTCCAAGTGTCTGGGATGGAGTTTTGTCTTATGGAGAGATTGAAGATGTGGGTCACAGGGACTGTGATGATATGAGCAGCCAGCCTTAAGAAATAAGGTGGAAGTTCATCTGGACCTGCAGATTTTTTAGGATCAAGATCTTTTAACAGTTTATTGACCTCACTGACTGAGAATGGAGAAAAAGAGAAGCTGTGATTAACTGAGGATTGACTTGTAGGAGGGATTTGATTTGTAGAAGTTTGGTTATTAAGTGAAGTGGCTGATTTTTTGTTAGTAACTGTGTCAAATAAAGAACCAGAAGCAACAAAATGTTTGTTGAAACAGTTCAGGATCTCGTGCTTATTTGACACAGGAACAGAGTTAACGAGAAGTTGTGATGGGAGGTCAGGGGGGTGCCTGAGAGAGATTTGATGGTTTTCCAGAATCTATTAGGGTCATTTAGATTTTTGGAGGTCTGAGATAAGAAATAGTTGCGTTTTGCTGCTTTGACAGAAGTTGTACATTTATTCCTCATCTGTCGGAAACTCAACCAGTCAGTGTCTGAGCCAGATTTTCTCGCTGCAGCCCAAAGATGATCTCTCCTGTGCAGGAGGTCAGCTAGCTCTGGAGTAAACCAGGGGCTGTCTCGTCCCTTTATTCTGAACTGACGAAAAGGAGCATGTAAGTTCAGGAAATAAATGAAATTATTATGGAAATAGTTCCAAGCAGAGTTCACATCATCAGTTAACAGAATACGATGCCAGTCAAACTTTCAGCTAACATTGGCTTTTTTTAGCTAGCATTTTGCTATTTTAAGCATTTAGGTAGTTTTTTTTTTTGTATTTCGTTTGCCTTTGTTCTACGAGCCTTTAGATAGTGTTCAACTACTTTCTGTTTATTGCTAGTATTATGTTTGTTTTCGCTTTTAGCTACTGCTGTGTTTTTTTGTCACTGCTGTGTTTCCTTTAGCTTTTAGCTAGTGCTGAATTTCTTTTAGGTAGTGCTGCATTTCTTTTAACTTTTAGCTAGTGCTGCACTTCTGTTAGCTTTTAGCTAGTGCTGCATTTTTTAAGCTTATAGCTAATGTTGTGTTTCTTTTAGCTTTTAACTAGTTCAGTATTTCTGTTAGATTTTAGCTAGTGCTGCATTTCTTTTAACTTATTGCTAGTGCTGTGTTTCTGTTAGCTTATAGCTAGTGCTGCATTTCTGTTAGCTTATAGCTAGTGCTGCATTTCTATTAACTTATAACTGGTGCTAAATCTCTTTTAGCTTATAGCTAGTGCTGAATTTCTTTTAGCTAATGCTTTGTTTATTTACTTTTAGCCATTGTTACATTTCTATTAGCTTTTAGCAAGTGTTGTGTTTCTGTTAGCTTATAGCTAGTGTTGCTTTTCTTTTAACTTGTAGCTAGTGCTGCATTTCTTTTAGTTAATGCTTTATTTTGTTTTTTTTGCTATTGTTGCATTTCTGTTAGCTTTTAACTAGTGCTACATTTTGTTTAGCTTTTAGCTAGTGCTTTTTTCTGTTAGCTTTTAGCTAGTGCTGCATTTCTTTTTAGCTTTTAGTTTGTGCTGCATTTCTTTTTAGCTTTTAGCTTGTGCTGCATTTCTGTTAGCTTTTAGCTAGTGCTACATTTCTGTTAGCTTTTAGCTAGGGCTACATTTTGTTTGCTTTTAACTAGTGCTACATTTTGTTAGCTTTTAGCTAGTGCTGTTTCTTTTAGCTAGTGCTTAGGTTGTTTTGATGTAACAGCTCAATTTTAGCTTCTTCAGCTAGTTTCAGCCAAGTCATACAATATTTACAAACTATTTTTATACAGAAACTGTAGTTTCTCTGGTTCTTTATGCTTTGAATGTTTTGATTCATAACAACAAACAGAAAAACAAAAACAAAATAACCATGTGGATGTCCAACCATTTACTAACATGGGGGAAATGTTTAACCTTGACCATGGTTATGGTTAAACACCATCATTGTTATGGTTAAAAAGGTTATGGTTAAACAACATGGTTAACCATGACCATGGTTATGGTTAAACAGGTTAAGGTTAAACAACATGGTAAACCATGAC